ATGTGGATCCGACAAAGCAAAGGGGGACCGGAATGGCCATTTCTGGCTTATTGGCATTATAATGAATAGCTGAAAATTGTTTCTGATGGTATTTTAAATTATAAGGCATTTTCAAGAAAAGCTGCATAATCCTATTCTTTCTTGTACTGATATTGGTAGCATGTAAATGTTCTGCAAAATGCATGCATAGTAAGGTGTAGTTGTGCGTTCAAAATGGTTCGTATCGATAGATGTTGCAGGATCGTAAGTGCACATTCGTTGTTGTCCAGTTATTGGTGCTGATTTTAGCATATAAAGTACGGTCAGCATACCGCAAAAAGGCCGTGAGCCCTAATACGTACCTTCTGAACAGCGTATAGAAAGGTATTATTTCCCCTAAACGAAGTATGTAAGTGTTTTATTTAAGAAACTCCGAATAAGATGAGACAATAATTCTAGTTCACAACTTTCGGGAATCGAAAAGGTCTTCAAACCCAAACATTTCCTCTCCTTAAATGTTTGAAGAAACCGACTACATAAGGAGTATTGTTATGCCTGTTTTCTATAAAATATATTGATACATAAACCAAGCAAATGAATATTAAATAAATTGTCTTCTTTTACAATCTCCTGTTCGTAGGTGGCAGCAACGAAGCTCGTCCAAAAGCCGATATCCTAACTTGACTAAAAGATCATGAAACAATTCAGAAAGATAAGTCATATTACAACCCTAATAAAGTTTTTAATCGAAAATACGTGTCAGAATCTCGGTTGACATTACATGAAATAGTCCACTTAGCATTATTACTATATTCAAAAACGAACCTCCACCCATCCTTTTACTTTAATGTTCCGGGATTGTACCGGACATAGTGTTTTAATACGGTCAACGCTTGTGAGCCTTTTATAGATAGCAGACGAGGTAGGTCGGTTGGCGATCAGGATTACAGCATCGCGGATATACGCATGCTCTTGTTACTCCATCACACTGGAGAGGTTCGTTAGTATGCAGTTTGCTCACGTTGTATAGGGTTCCATTTTTTACGTCTACGACGGTAGGCTGAATACCGAAACAGGGTCCCCTAAGAAATACCAAAACCTCAGCGCTCTCTGTCAGCTTCTCGCAGGTTAAGTGAATTATGGGTCGTAGCCTGTGGCTTTCTTAGTATCTTCACCTGTCTCACTTCAAAAAAGAAGATGACAATCACAAAATACGTAGTTCGGACAGAGCACCCCGAAGGAATTATATAGTCTGTTCTGTTATTCAAAAAAGCACTCCAGGAAACGGCAAACTAAATGCCATTTTACCCCAAGGAAACTGATGAGCACCTGTGGATTGGTTGTGCTGCCACGGGAAATATTTCAACAATTAGACCTATAAACATTATATTCACTTTAAATTATTGACCCAACTCAGCACAAAAAATTGGACATTTAGATATCAGATGAGACCTACATGGGAGGACTTTGCCCGAGAACAGTAAAATAGTGGGTTAGGTCCGTCTAGAATACAGACAAGTGCTTGCCTTTGGGGGCTGCGCCAGCTGGAAGATGCGGTCAACAAGGTGCTGCAGAACTTCGTTCTGATTGAGATCCGCTGGCACCTGGAGCTTCTCTCGCACGGACTGAGGAAGTTTTCTGGAATTTCTGCTAGAAGACGAGCTGGGCTTGATATCAACTGGCTCGGGCTCGTCAGTCACCGAATCAGGACCATCCAGCTCGGTGCCCTGTGCGTAGTCGAAGAAGCGCAGCCGCCCCTTGCACGCCAGCTTCCACTCACCAAGTATGCTCTGGAAGGTGGAAAAAGCAACAGTGAAAACTTCTAAGTAGTTTAATGGCTGTGTTCTCCTAACCATTAATGGACAGAGATGTTTAAAGTAAAAAGGAGTTTTAATTAACAGTGTTGAGTGACTTTGTACAGATTTCTAGCGGAGCTTGAGGAGCACTAACCCTACCCCGAGGACTCACGTGTGATTTACTTGTGATATGGGGCTGCGGAACATTTGCCGCAGTGGTCTCATTCATTTTGAGCCAATAACATGGGCAGGTCAGGAGTTTAGGAGGCAGATATTGGCGCAAGTGTTCATTAGGTATTCGCCCTGTCACCGGCGTGTTACATGCCTATTAGTATTCGGAGATGACACCAGTAAGTGTTGTCGTAAGCTCTCGTTTGGAGAGGACATGAGAATCCGATTCTTATTTCGGAAAACAACTTTATCCCAGTTGCCGCCTATCGTCCGAGCTACGGTCGATGACGAGTTGTGCAACGTCCAGCTTATTCCCTATTTGTGCTCCCGTCGTATACGCTGACAAACCGCCTTGCAATTCAGTTTCACAGATGTAATATCTGACAGTAGTAGCCTATATCCTACTCGCCAAAAGGTAGAGTCATCAGACTGACTGAGTTGTCAAGCAGGAAACCGCTTAAATGAACATCCTTCCTTCTCCTCCACTTCTATCATCGGAATCGTCCGCCGAGGCAGAAACTTAGTGCAGTCCATCAAGTTATAATAAAAATAAAGAGAGTCTCCCTGGCGTCCATTTGCTGGACGGAATCGGTTAGATGTCTGGGCGCATCATCCGAGTGTAGTAACGATCGTGCAGAAACCGTTAATCATTCTCTTCCAGAAACACAACGTTCCTGGAAAAACTATAGTTCGAAACTTGAGAGCGACGAGATTCACTATTGCGCTGTTGGGATTAGGCAATAAACTCCAACCGGACGGAAGTATAAAGACGCACCATTTGTTCGTCCGACGTTTTGAACTCTTACGCGGGCCGATTTGCTAGAGTTGAATTTTGGACATCTCT